CTCCTCTTGCTTTTTTTTTTTTTTTTCTTATTTTTGGCAAGAACAAAGGTTTAAATCTGGTCAGGTTAGATTCCAATCTGAGAACAGCACTGGCAATATTCTTAGGAATAGTAAAGATTCATCTACGAGATCTGGATCCAATAGATTTTAAATAATAAATCGGCCCAAGGGATAGTAAAACACAGAATATGTTTACAAGGTGCTTCACACAATTATGATAATTGTTTTAATTATTAATGCTAATTCTAATTTGAAGCAGGCACTTGCTTGCTCTCAATTAGCATGGTTAATCACCAAAGCAGACCAGGTCTTAGGAACCTAGGTCACAGTCCAGCTCCGAAAATGTCTAAAGCACATGCACATTCTTGAGTCCCTAATGTAGTACTCATAGATAATTTCCTTAGCATCTGCCAAGCCTCTTGACTTACTCTACTTTTTAAATATTTTAAAGGCTATTGCAGTTGTAAACAAAATTAAAAAGAAAACTACAAACTAAAGCACCAGCCTCCAGGATTCTATTTCTCAGAACACCTTTGGTTTGCATTTAGATCTCACAAATTTATTGTAGAATAAAATAAGATAGTATATTTCATTTTAGAAAACAGAAAATTTTGAATGGTTGCAGTTCAGGACTTCATTTATATGTCTACTTACTGTCTGTATTTTATCCTGGTGCTTGGAGGCTGTTAGGATCTAGATAGGAGAGAATACAGGTAGTCCTCACATAACAACTGCAATTGGGACTGGCAACTCCGATGTTAAGTGAAGTGGTTGTTAAGTGAAACATCACATGACCATGCCCAACTTACAACATCAGTTCCGCTGCAGTCATTAAGTGAATCACCCAAGATTGTTAAGTGTGATATCATGTGACTTGTGACTTACTGCTGGCTTCCCCATTGACTTTGCTGTTGGAAGCCGGCTGTGAAGGTTGCAAATCATGTGACCATGGGATACTGCAACTGTCATAAATGTGTGCCGGTTACCAAGCACCTGAATCATGATCATGTAATCATGGCACTCTGTGACATTGTAAGTTCAAGGACTGGTTGTAAGCCTATCTTTTCAATGCCGTCGTCAATCTGAACGATAAACAGGGCAGTTTTTAACTGAGGACTACTTGTAGACTGAAGTCGAACCCTGGCAAGATGGAGTTCCTCTGCTACTGCCAGAATTACTCCTTGACAGGCAAGAATTACCTATCAGGGAGCAGATTCATGACTTGGGGGTCCTTCTGGACTCTCAGCTCCTACTGGATCAGCAGGTATAAGCTGTATCCAGGGGGACCTATGCCCAGCTACAGCTGGTATGAAGGTTGTAGCCTTACCTGGGGAAGAAGACTTGGGGTATAGTAACTCATGCCCTCATCTCTATCCAATTAGACTACTGTAACACACTCTTCTTGGGGCTGCCCTTAAAGCGTATTCAGTAATGACAGACGGTCCACAATGCAGAAGCTTGCATACTTTCAGGATCCTGGTGTTGGGAGCATATAATACCAGCTCTGCAGACCCTGCTCTGGCTACCAAGCTATTTCAGAGAGGCTGCCCCTGATCTGATGCCATTTATTTCTTATGGTTCACACTGTTTTATGGTTGTTCACTGCTGTTTATGTTTTTATCTTTTCCTATGTTTTTAATTGGTATTTTCTGATATAAGCTGCCGAGTATCTTTTTGATTGTGGCGGCACAGAAATATGCTAAACAAACAAACAAACAAACAGACAAACACTATCAGTTTGTCTTTCCCTCTCTGAATTAATCAACCATACCTTCCTTTTTCTGACCATGCAGGAGCTTAATAATAATCCCAAATAATAATTACTGCACAAATGGAGTAAGCATCCATATCTTGTTTTCCAGAACCAAAACTTCTCCACTGAGAGCTTTGATGCAGAGCAAGGAGACCTGTGACTGGCACAGGAGACCTGATGGGAAGTAGAGATTCCCTACCCAAACCTATAGAGCTGCTTTCTATTCATTTCAGGAGGCGGACCAGTATCAGTAATCTTTCTTAAATCCCTTAAAAAACAAAAAGACCTAAATGCCTAGTCATTGTTTACTCTAACAAATCAACAAAGCCCTGATTACAGACTAGAATTGAATGAAGTAAATAAAAGCTATGCTGAACATGAGTCAGCAAAATTGCGACAGTACAAACAGAAGCATAATTTATATATATATATATATGTATATTTTATATATAA